CGTCGATGAGCGCGCGCATGGCTGCTTCTTCCTCCTGCCACGTCTGCGGCGGCGTGCCAAAGTCGTCGGCGGCACCGATCCAGAAGTCGTCGTTCGGGTTGGCTGGGTCACCGCCGACAAAGTCTGTGACGCCGGGGATGATGCCGTATAGGGGTAGTTCCGGCATCTCGCGGTCGCCGTCAAAGGGGGCGAGGTCGGCTTCGCCGTTGGGGTTGCCTGCCGCGAAGCTGGCGAGGGCTGCGTCGATGTCCATCTGCGGGTCGCCGTCGCCGACGCTGGCCACCACTGGTGGAGGGTGGTCCTCGAGATGAACTTGTAGGTCGTGGTGGCGGATGAAGCGGGCGCCGCAGCCGGGTATTGTGCAGAGGATCGTGCGCTTGGTGCCGGCGAGATCGTCAATGATGTTGGGTGGCTTCTGATTCGGCACCGGACGCTCCATGCCCAGATGGACGTAGCGGATATGGTCCTCGAGGTTGGCCTTGGTGACGAAGCCTCCGCCGCAGCCCTGGTCGTTGGACCAGATTTCCAGATCAGGGGAGCCCGCGACGTCGACCTCGCCGCAGACGAAGCGGAAACCTTCGTGCGCGGTGCGGATGTGGACGGTAAGATTGTGCTTCTTGGTGAACTTTTTGTCGCAGCCCTCCCACGTGCAGGCGACCGTCTTGCGGGCGTCGACGGGGATGCCCGAGTGGCGCATCTCCACGTGCCTCTCCAGCTCCCACTGCCCGGTGCACTTGTACTCGCAGAAGATGCAGTTGAGATGCTCCTTGCGGATGTGTGCCTGGAGCAGCGAGATGGACGTGAAGCCGACCTTGGTCTCGCCGTCGCCGCCGCCGCACTCTTCGCACCAGAACTGCGGTTCGCTGTGGTCGCGCTTGGTATGGTTCCGCAAAGCCCCCTGGGAGTCGAAGCCGGCGCCACAGCCGGGTGCCGTGCATGGGTATGCGTGCGTGCCCAGGTGTTCCGACCGGATGTGTCGCTGGAGGGTGTTGTGCTTGCGGAAGCTCTGGGCGCACGGCGGGAAGTCGCGGCACCGGAAGCGCTCCTGGCCGGCGTGGACGTCCTGGTGACGGCGCAGTCTCGTCGCCGTCAGGAAGGACTTGCCGCAGTCCTCGTGGGTGCAGACGTAGGCCCGCTCCTGGGTGTGGGAGCCCTTGACGTGCTGGCGGAGGTGCTTCTCCTCGCGGTAGTCTTTGTCGCAGCCGGGGTAGGTGCACTTGAACGGTCGGTCGTCCGTGTGGGAACGGAGGTGGGCGGCCAGACGGGCGGGCCGGTTGAACGTCTTGTCGCAGTCTGGATATGTGCACGGGATGGTCTTGAGGTCTGAGGGGAATTTGCGGGATCGAGTGGTGACGGAGGTCTGGCCTGTCATGACAGACTCTACCTCGGCGTCGGCGGTCGAGCCGGAATTGCTGGCTGTATCATCGTAGTCGTCGTCGCTGGCAGCTTTCCCTCCCATCGTGTTAGCCAAATCGCACCAAGTTGTACTTCGAAAGCGGGCTCACCAACCGGTGTCTTCCAGCGCCGCTACCTTGGATCTTTTCAGATCCGGGGAGGCGGAAGCCTCTTGGGCCTTCCGTTTCGTCATGAGGAGCGATTGTGATCGAGCATTGCCTGCCTTGCCTGGGCGATGAGAAAAAAGAGGTCGATTGCCAAACTTTTCGAGAGCCGATGAACTTATTTCCTGGCAGAATTGGCGGATTCCCGGGCGGTCTGGCGAAATTTTGTGCGCTGCACCAGCCACGGGACGAGGGGCCGGGGTCGACTCGGTCCGGATAAGCTATTTCCTCTTGCTGATAAGACTAGTGCGGACCCACCAGGGGGAACTCTGCCCATCGCAGCAGCCTCGTCAATATTTTTTCACGGCTGGGTCCAGCAGACGCTCCGCTTGCGACAATCCAACATCACGCGACGAACGTAGGAACCAGGACGCAGCAACGAACCACACCATTGCGGAAGTCATCAATCCCATCAATTGAAACCTCAAGATGTCTGACTTTGGCGATGACGATGTTGGCGGAGGGTAAGATTACATGCACTTGCGTCTGCGGCGCGACTGCTAACCGCGATTCAGCGACGAGACCATGTACGAGGACGAGGCCGCCGACTACTGGGATCCCGAGGTTCCTGCGGACGATGAGGAAGTCGGAAGGGCAGAGGGCGACGAGGAGGACGCGGACAATGTCGTTGCATCGGGCGACCCCTCTGCGGCAGCGAACGCGGGCAAGGGCAACGAGAAGTCGCACCGCGACAAGAAGATTCCCGATGACCAGCGTACGACGACTCCCTACATGACAAAGTACGAGCGCGCCCGTATTCTGGGAACCCGCGCCCTGCAGATCAGGTTCGTCAAACCGCAATCCCACCCAAAGCAAATACCCCGCGATAAAGTCGCGATGCACGCGGACAAAAACAAGCTAATGCATGGGATTAGTATGAATGCGCCGGTGCTGGTGGACTTGGAAGGAGAGACGGATCCTCTTCAAATCGCGATCAAGGAGCTCCGAGAGAAGAAGATCCCTCTCATTGTGCGCCGCTACATGCCCGACGGATAGTAAGTGCCGGACGACAAACCCCTCCCCCGGACTGTCCACGCAAGCTTCGTGGCCATTCTGCACCGTTATCTTGAGCCATGCCCGGCTAACCTTGCGCGCCAATAGCTACGAGGATTGGACCTGCGAGGAGCTTCTCCAGTGAGGGGACTACTGACTTTTTTTTTCTCTCCAAACTTTTCGGGGGACAAAGAGAGACGCGCGACTAGATGCAAGGCACCTTATACCCATCTCCTATCGTCGTTGCCTCAAGAGTAGTCAAATGTCCGAGCAGAGAGTTTCCTACCATGGATCTCATTACCAGCTCGCTTCGCCGTTGAGCCAGACGCTCGCAGGCAAGCTTGAGAAGAGACGTTCCATCCAAAAACCGTTATAAAAAGAAGACACACCACAGGGGTTAGTGTGCTGTACTTTGATTTTGCATTGAGCGTGGCGTTTTCTAGGAAAGAAATTGGAATTTTCAGACATCAAAGAACCATCTCAATTGTGAGAAGAAAACCTTGAATCCCAGTTCTCGTACTCTCGTCACTTTCTTCTTGTTTCTATTCGCTTTTCCGGGCTGAAAATAGCGGACTGCAGTGATTCATCACAGGATTACGTGGTCCTGCTCAGATCCTCGCTTCGAGTGGCAGCCTGCAGTGTAACCAGTGGGAGAGTGGGAGACGAGCCGGTATGCACCTTCCCAACACTGAGAAGCGTCCCTACCAACCCCCGCCGAAATTAAGCGAGGTGTCCGGCTTGGCGAGTCAGCGAACCGATCGTCGCTTCCTTCCCGGCCGCGAGCCTCCCGCCTTCCGGAGCGCGACGGGCCACGGACCTCGGCGCCGTCAAGCCGTGGAGCTGTCCCCTTATCGATGAGGATCGACAACGTCAACGTAAACAACAACGTTTTCCTTCTTCTATCTGAGCTTACACAGCCCCGTTCACCCCAGGTCCCACCTCTCGTCCGATATCTCACAACTTAACCTAGGTACAAGGTTGTTTCTGTTTCCCTTACCTCCCCACCGCCCCCATGTACCTCCTTCCTTCTTTCAACTAAGGCTTGCCGGGGTGGCACGAAGAAGCTTATGGGCGACGACTTGGCCTGCACCTGAGGCTGAGGCTGGTGGGCAAGCTAGAGAAGGTTGGGAGAGAAGACCGAGAGGGAAAAGCTTAGCCAAGACCATGCCTAAACGACGTATTGGATCTTGTCTTCATTGGCTCAGATGCTCGTCAAAGGGTAATTGACGCCGAATAGCTTACCTTCTGATCCAAGCTTCTGGCAATCGTGGTTCGATCCGCCCAAATATGTCTACTAGACTAGTTCACACTCTATTGCTTCCAACGAATACACACTCAGCCTTTCAATCGCCTCTTTCTTGGCATGAAGGATATCTGGATAACGCAACGGATCGAGCCGGGCGCAACTACCAAGACGACCAGCATCATCCATTTTCCCACACTTTGATTGTGAACAGAGAGCGAAAACGAAGGAGGGGGACAAAGACCGACGACGCTTGCTAACACGGCGGTCTTCTCTCCTTTGCAGCCTTCCATTCCCTTCTACATATCCCACATCACTTTCCCATCGCCTTGGCTCGGACCTCCTCCGCCGCGCTCGGCCGACCACGTCTTCAATGTCCACCGTCCACGAAGCATGCGGGTTATCGTCTCTGCTTCACAGCCTTCACTCCTACTCTGGCCCCCTCTCTTCCCCGTCTGGCCTCTCGAATCACGCCGTCCATCACGGAAAGCAAGCTGGGTCTCTTCTCCCGTCACCCGGAAGACCAGAACCACCACCATCCCGTCCACACCACACCTCAGCTCCCGAACGCGAGACCGCGGCTGTCCGGCTTGGCCCTCACCCAACCGGCGGGCTTCTCACATACTTCTCTTGGCTCCGCTTCACTTCCAACACTACGCCGTGCTTCTCAAGTACAACTCTTGGCGCTTTCCCGCCCTTGCCCTCCTTTTCCCACAAACCTGTACACGTATACTCACAGCCATGAAAGCGTCGTCATGTCTGTCTATTTTGCTCATCTTCCCCCCCTTGTACGTCGTGATCCCTGTGGGTCTGTATCCCGACTAGCCGGGTAGCTTTGCAGCTGCTTGTGCTTGTCACCTTCTCTGGAAGAGGAGGAAGACGAAGGGTGGCAGAGGGGCAAAATGAAGCTTCGAACACGTTGATCATCGCCGAGCCCATGGCACGACATGTTCACCCTTTCTCTTGGCAAAATATTGTGGACTTCCAACTCAGTATAAAGAGTAGAGTCAGTGACCGCCCTTTCGATGAGAGGGAGATGGCTGGACAAGCAAGACATTCCAATCCTCAGCCTGGCTTCCCCCTCCCCATACCTCTTTCGGTATATTCCATTAGCAGCAGAGAGCCTTTCCAAGCCGGCACATGCTCGCTTCTTTTCTATAAGGCCCTTTTCCGCCTAGGTCCACAAATCCTTTCTCAGTTTCACAATGCTCCCTCAAGCATCTGTTCTCGCGGCCGTCTTGCCGGCGCTGACGCTGCTGCTCCCAGGCGGCGTCTATGGCCTCGCGGTGGCGTCTAGAGCGACGAACTATACCCAACAAGCCATCGACTCGGGCGCTGTGCTGTCTGATCTCAACAAACAGGCCTACAGCAACGTTCTTGCTCGTCTCGGGAACGCGACTGCGGCCGGTCAGAACGGGACCGCGCAGTGCACAAAAGACAATGTCAGAGTCCGTCGCGAGTGGTGAGTCTTTTGATACCAGTCTTTTGGGTCTGATTTGTACCTGGCCCAGTCTTGGGTAAAGGGGGAAGAGGATAGGGCAGACAATTTGATAAGGAAGTAACTTGTGGACTGACATCGACTGTGCTTTTCTTTACAGGAGAAACATGCCGGATGAAGAGCGCATTAGGTACACCGATGCCGTGACCTGCCTCCAGCAGCAGCCGGAGTTATTCACCGAGATTGCCGGGTCCAAGTCCATGTTTGATGACTTTGTGGCCCTGCACCAGGCAGCGACGCTTTACGTTCACCTGTCGGTAGGTTATCGACCCAGACGAAGCAGTTTCTTGTATGTGTAGGAGAACCTCCCACTAATCGGAGTACTCATCTCAGGCAACGTTCTTCCTCTGGCATCGCTACTACATCTGGACATATGAGAACAAGCTGGAGTCGGAGTGCGGCTACAACGGTACGCTTATCACTCCTTATACACATGCTCTAACATGAAAGCAAGATGAGCAAGACTAACACCACGCCAGGATCTTTCCCCTACTGGGAATGGGGTTTCGACACGGCCAACCTTTCCGCGAGCCCCGTCTTCGACGGCTCCGCGACCTCGATGGGCAGCGACGGCGTCCCGACCCCTCACCAAGGGCTCGTCCTCGTCAACGCGTGGGATAACACCACAACAGTACTCCCCGCCGGCACAGGCGGCGGCTGCCTGGCTTCGTCCTCGGCCCCATTTGCCAATCAGACGGTCCACCTCGGCCCGCAGGCCATGCCGGACTACGGCAACGTCACCTCCTACAACTCGGCCACGCCCACCGACGACAACCCGCGATGCCTGCGCCGCGATCTCAACGTCTACCCGCTCCAGCGCTGGGCCAGCCTCCGCAACACGACGGACCTGATCCGTGACGCCGCTGACATTGAGAGGTTTCAGGCCGTCGCACAGGGGGACTCGCGGTACGTCGGAACGGGCCAGCTAGGCGTCCACGGGGGCGGGCACTATGCGCTAGGAGGGGACCCTTCGAGCGACGTCTACCTCAGCCCCGGTGATCCCGTGTTCTACCTTCATCACGCTCAGATGGACCGTCTCTACTGGATCTGGCAGAACTTGGACTGGCAGAATCGTCAGGTCAGTTGTCAACTCGCACAGTCTTTGCTTTCACTTACTTGCCTTCCTCTCATCTTCTTTTCCTTACTTTGTGATGATCAATGAATGAGGCACTAACTTCCGCCATAGACAATTTTCGGTACGAACACCACCATGAACCAGCCGGCTAGCGCCAATGTGACACTTGACGACTTGATGTACATGGGACCTCTGGGCGCCGAATTGTCCCTTCGCGATGCCATGGATACCGTGAATGGCCCATTTTGCTACGTATACGCATCGGACTGAGGAGACCGCTGTATGTCAGGTGAGCTTTGGAGGGGCTTGAGTTGGTCTGTGTTGGCAAGTTGCGATACAGCATTCTCATTTTCTCATAATAGCGGTGCATGTGTGTAAGATAGACAAAGATAATAGAGAAGAACTGCTGATCATCGATTTCTTGCACCGAGCGAGTGACAAGTGATGTTTGCCAAATTGCAGCAGCCGCGATGTGCGGCTTGATGGGACGCATGGGAAGGAACGGAGTCTCGGACTGTTATAGTAGTTGCAACCACTGCTTGTATCTGAAGTACTTGCATTTATAAACAAACAGTTCCTGAAGCACCTACCTATTCTTATGCTACCGGTGCATTTCTCTCCAGACTTATCCGCAGACTTCAGTACCGATATCCATTCATTCCCACGATAGGGACTATTCATGCCCGTCCCAGATCAGGACATCCTCCACGAGATATGGCATCAACGGCGCCTACCCCGTTCACCTGTACCTTCTGCTTCCAGCCCTCCGCCGGCCCTTCACACGTCATCGGCCGGGAAGCCCGCCTAAGCTGCTCGCCCTGCTACGGCGCGTTGATCGATCTGGCCATCTGCTGGGTTTGCGGTGAGATCGTCTACCGGGGAGACGACTGCGTTAGCTTGGGGTAGTGCTTCTGGCATCGCGCGTGTTATGGGTGTATGTTCTACGGGAGCAAGCTCATCTACCGAGGGGTGCCTGTGCTGGACCTCTTCGACGATGGTTTCGATGCCGTTGTTGATGGGAGGAGCATGGCTGGCAGGATTGCTGGAACGGAAGGCAAGGGGAACATGAAAGAGGTGGAGGCGGTGCCGCTTTGTGCTGCGTGTTGTGTTGGTACGGAGGGGGAGGACGTGGTGCAGAAGGGGTTGGGGAGGGTTGAAAGGGTTGATGGTGGACTCGGCCGCGCGAGATGGGGTGCTGGTGAGACCAGAGCCGGGCAGTTGAGGAGGGCTCCGGCGGTAACTTATCTGAGTGTGATGAGGGAGTCGATGCTGACTTCACCCTAGTCTATCCGATCTCTCAGCCCAGACTCGTCATCATTCCGCAGAATAGGAGACGGATCCCACGACGAGAGCAGAGGGTATCTGGCAACACCACCCGGAGACTCTACGATATACGTCTCCATCAACGATCCCATCGGCCAACCTGCCTTCAAGCCAAGTCCAACGAAGCCTATACCGATATGGATGCAGCCATTTCGGGGACTTGAGCAACTGACCAGTGAAGAGCAGAAACAAATCTATGTGTCTCATCCACTCTCTGGCCTCTCGCAGACTCCAGCGACGTCAATCTCCGGGACCCCCTCAATAGGGTCATCGAATTCACTTACACCGACCATCAGACCAATTACACCGGCCCGCTCCACATCGCCGCCGCAAACACCGCCGAGGTCTCGTTCGATCTGGACGCCGTCTGAAATTCGACGAGCACCACCTCTCTCGTGGGTCAGCAACGAGCCCCTCAAGCGGCCGTCCTCTCGATTTGCGCCCCGTCTCGAGAAGTCGGACACGACGACGTCGTCGGGTTATGTCACTCCGCCAGAGACGCCCTCCGAGCAGCAGACGCGGTACAAAACCCCACCGCCGCCGCCGCAGCCGCAGTTACGGCGAGTGCGGCCGCAGAGTCCACTGGTCCATGCTCGTGTCCCACGGCGTCACGCCGTGCGTCGAACGCCTCCGCCTCAGTCGTCCGAGTACCTAGAGCGGTACAACCCCATCCGGTCCCCGTCGCCGCGACCACGGATCACACGACCAGTCATGTCAGCGTTCAGTCCACCCAGTCGTGCCAGAGCCAGCTTGGTGGTGTCGAGGCATGCGACTAAGGATGATAGTAATGGCCCTCCTCCAGATCCGAACCAAAGCACGGAGAGGCTTCTATCGGATGGGGCCGACTCGCCCGGCGAAGCGGGGAAGAAGAGGAATTTGCAGGCTTTACGAAAGCTGTTCAGCGGAAAGTGAGGAAAGTGGCGGGGCAAGCATGGCAGACCCCAGAGATGGATTAGCACTTGAGCAAGTATCCTTTACCGCTAGTGATAGTGTGGAATGCGGGAAACATTCGAGAATAGAATATATCTTCAGCAATGGATGCCTCAATGCTAATCTCACAACTTTGTGGGCTCTTGCCGGAGCCTCGACAGCATGGCTGAATCGAGAAGCATAACTAATCCATCTGGCTGTAACATCATCCCTCTGATATTCATGTAGAGGGGTTATAAGACTGGAAAGCCTCTTCACAAATAAAGACCGGGGTCGCGACATAACGGCTTTGGTCGCGCCAGGGACCCCGTCTGCAGTTGCACTTGTCATCCCTGCAAGTGCCCCCACACTCACCCGCAAGGTGTGTGCCACCGGCCCATCCCGCCAACTGAGGTGGCTAGCACCAATTCCATCCATCCATCCATCAATCAATCCAGACACAACCTCGACCTTGATTACTTTCCACTGCATCCCGCTAATTTCTCAGCCTCGTCCCTTACAGCGCAACCTCACATTTACCCACCACAACTTCCATCAACCGTTTCTCGACCGAGGCGCTTGTCCCATCCGCGTCGGATTGCTGTCCTCCACCTAAAGCCAATAACTACACAGACGACAATACGCAGCGAGATATCGCGGGGGCCCGTACCCAAAATGGCGCCGATAGACAAACCAACCCCCGAAGAGCTGGAACGTACGTATAACCCTCACCCACGTTGCGCCACCAGGCATTTCACTAACGCACACATGCCCCCCAAAAAAACAGAGCAACTAAAAGACACAATTCAAGACCTCTACCAAATCCTAGTCCAAGTAACAACCTACAACGCGACCCCTTCCGCGCCCACCGCCCCGGCCCTCGCAGACTCGGTCCAAGCCCTCTCGCACTCCCTCCAGCGCGTCCACATGACCGCCACAGCAGGCGCCCCGCCCTCCCCCGACCTCCCCGGCGCGCTGCCGAAAATCCCGCCCGAGCTGGTGCAGTACGTCGAGAACGGGCGGAACCCGGACATCTACACGCGCGAGTTTGTGGAGCTTGTTAGGCGCGGGAATCAGCTCATGAAGGGCAAGATGAATGCGTTTGCGCAGTTTCGGGATGTCCTTGCGGATCATGTCGAGAGGGGCATGCCGGAGTTGAGGGAGGATGTTGGGCGGGTGCTTGAGGGGGGCAAGGTTGTTGGGAGCGGGAAGCCTGGTGGTGCGCTATGAGGTGCGCTGTTTTTCGGGGGTGTTTGGTTTACGAGCTTCGGGGGAGGCCTTGAGAGGATCAGGACATGCGGTCTTCGGGGAATCCGGGCAGACGAAATGAGCGCAAGCTGGAGACGACCAAGCGCCAGGGTTGGATACCCAGTGGTGAAGGTGCATGGAGAGAGTTTGATACCCAGAGACAGACAGAGTCGTGTGAATAGCACGTTACGCACCATAATGGAATATACGGACTAATTAGCAACGAAATTAAGCTTGTGCTAGCAAGTCTTTTCCACACGACGTTTGCAGAGTCAATTTCCAGCTGGTCAACTATGCCTAACTTCGCGCGCAAGAAGAAAACACACGACAAAATTTTGTAGGGGCATCATCACTCATATGCCCCTTTCAATGAGATATGCAAGACGCCTTCCAACCCATCCTTTCCCCAGGTTCGGTCATGAAATTCGGATTGGTTTCTGAGGGATATTGTTTGGTCGTGAACTCTTCTTCTCTCTTCTCTGTTCCTCTTCCCTCTCTGTCCCTGGTATGTCTCTACAAAAAGGGTTGTAAAGGTGTGAAAAGGAAAAAAAAAGTGGCAAAGAGAAACGTAAAAAAAAGGGACGATTTGGGTCGATCGATGCCTGGGTAAAAAACGCCGCCCGTGACACTTTTCTGTGCGTTTGTAGTCTATCCGGATCTGCAGTCGAAAAAAAAGACAACACAAAACTCATTCCCCGCCGCGGAGCCGTATGCTCAGCTTCCGGGCCCCTATGATGCAAATGTACACGAATCCCACAGCTGCCGCTACCAGCAACAGGAGCTGGAACGGGACAAGGACCAGGGCGGCCACGATCCAGATTCCATACTGGCGAAACTTGTCCACAATCCGGTCGCCTTCTTCTTGGCGCCGCTTCGTGTGGCTCTTCATCGGCTTTGCAGCGAATGAGCCGCCCGTATTTTGTCCCGACTCTGCTGACTCGTCGGATGTTTCTGCTTCTTCCTCCGACTCGGATTGTCAGGTCGAGAAGTTGAAACCGCGTCCGCCGAAGCCGCCGGCACCGCCACCTCCACGAGGGCGGCCACCACCGTCGGCAAAGTTGAAGTGCGCACCACCGCCACCTCCGCCGGGGAAGCCGCCTCCATTGAAGCCGCCACCGCCGCCGAAGCCGCCGCCACCACCCATCATGTTGAAGAGGATCTCGGGGTCGATGCCGCCGTGCATGCCGCCCATACCTCCCATGCCGCCCATGCCACCACCGTGGCTGAACATGTCAGACGGGTCCATAAGGTCCTCGCCGCTGTCGTAGCTGGCACGCTTCCTGCAAACGGGATTAGCAAATAGTGGATAACGTACACACGTATCAACTTACTGAGAGTCACTCAGGGTCTCATAGGCTTCTCCAATATCCTTGAAGCGCTCAGCAGCCTGTTCGTCGTTGGGGTTCTTGTCCGGGTGGTGAATGATGGCTAGCTTGCGGTAGGCCTTCTTGATCTGGTTATCATCCGCGTCCTTCTCAACCCCGAGGATCTTGTAGTAGTCCTTGCGCTGGCTCTTCTTCAGCTCCAGCTCAGCCCGGCGCACCTCCTTGGCGATGCTACGGTCCTCAGGATCCAACTCCTGGATGTTCTTCCACTCCTTCACAGCATCCTCCCACTTGCCTGCCTGGCCATATGCGTTGGCCTTGGTCTTGCGAGCCTTGAGGTATGTTGAGTCCAAGCTGATGGCGCGCTCGCAGTCAGCAATGGCTGCGTCGTACTCCTTGAGCTTGATCTTGCACAGCGCTCTGTTCTGCAGAATCTTGGAGTTGGTGCCACGGTTGGCGGGATCAACCTCGAGCGCGGCGCTGTACTTCTCAATGGCGGACTGCCAGCGACCCATCTTGTAGTCCTGATTACCCTCCTCCTTCATGCGGTCGAGCTTCTGCACGATTCTGAGGTACTTAACCGCATCCCGCATGTCGGGGTCGCAGCTGATGGCCTTACGGAAGTGGCTGACAGCCTTGTCGTTCTCACCCTGGGCGTAGAGGGCACGACCGCGGAGCACCAGGGCCTCGGGGTCCTGGCTGTTGCCTCTCAACAGGCCCATGGCAAGATTCTGCGCCTCGCCGAGGGCGTTGACGGTACCCATCTTGAGGTACGCCTCACCACGCATCAGCTGCCACTTGCGGGGTCTGGAGGCTCCGAAGCCAAGCTGACGCTCGGCCTGGTCGAGGGCGTGGAGCACCATTGATCCAGCAGTGCCGTCTCTCAAGGCACTCTGCGCAGCGTTGACGTGCTTCAGCATCTCCTTGGCCGAAGCCTGGTCCTTGGCTGAAGGAGGGGGGTTGATGCGACCGAAGACGAGCAGGGCCTCTTGGGGCTGTCCCAAGCTGGTGTAGATGCGAGCAAGTCGGAGAAGGATCTTGGGGTTCTCGGGGTCCAAGTCGGAGGCACGGGTGCAGTCATCGAGGGCGTACTCGTACTGGGTGTTGGACATGTATGCAGCAGCGCGGTTGCTCAGATAGGTAGCCGAATCGGGGACCAACTCGATGGCTGGAGCAGACTTGTCAATTTGTAGCCTAGACAGATTCGCAATCGGCAACACTTACCCTTGGAGTATTGAAGAATGGCATTCTTGTAGTCCTTCTCCTTGAAGAACTTGTTGCCAGCAGCCTTGTAGGCCTCGGCCTCGTCCTCCGTCGTGGGGACTGGACTGGAGGGGTTGGACTTGTGAGGGGGAGGGGCTGGAGCATCGCCATTGCCGTTAATATTGGTGTTGATGCCGTTTGGCTTGGGCACGGAGAAGGAAGTCTGCGCAGAGGGTTGGGGTGCAGCAGCAGCGGGAGCGGCAGCAGCAGGAGGCGAAGAAGGCGCCGCGCTCGACTCACGGTCGATATCCATGGCGTTTCCACTCATGGCTGAGAGTGCAGAAAGTCTCTTTGCACGTTCTTCAGGAGGGAGATTGAGGGGGTGAGAATCGAGGTCGATTTTGCTGCTCCTTCGTGAGCCGGGATCGGTGGGGTGGCGGCCAAAGGTGCGGGAAGTGCGCGACGGCTTTGTCTCCCTAGGGCCTGGGGATGCAGGTTGGGAGGGTTTTTTGGTGGGGGATTTTGTCGGCGACTTGATGGGCGACCGGGGCTTTGTGGGCGACTTTGTGGGAGAAGAAGCTTCAGAGGAGGGGAAGTAGCTCGATTCTTGGTGGTTGTCGTCGTCGTCCTGACCTTGCTTCTTGGACGATTTCTTTGCGAAGAGCTTCATTGATAAAGCAGGCGACCCTCTGAGGGGAACCAAAGAATGCGCAGGCTTATTTTTTTGTTGGTTAATTAGGTAAGGAGGGTCGGCACACCTCGATGCAAGGTTATGCTTGTGCACCAGATTCCCCAAACCACAATAACGGGCCTAGTGAAGGAGGGCGGGCAGGCAAGAGTGCGGAAAAAAAGCACCTGCTATTTTTTTTTTCTTCTGGGCTGCTTGGGTGCGTCCAGTGGAAGGCAGCGGAACCTTGCCTTGACTCGGATGGATGAGTACGGGAGAGGGCGGCTTGTGCGGAAGTTGATTGCAGATGGTCGTCCCAGTATGTTCGTTCGTATCGAAGAATCCCGACGAATACAACGATGATGAGGCAGTGTGGTGTGAGTGAGCGAGGTAGTTGAAGTGTGAGTGAGAGTAAGGTAGGAGAGGAGAAGAAGAAGACGGATTGGCTGCTCCCGGAAGGCAAGGTTAGGTGAGGGCGGATGAAGAGGGAAAAGAGGAAGGAAGCCCAGGCTATTGAGAAGAGGCTCGGCGAGAAGACACACAGCCCATCGGAGTGGGCACTGGAGGGGAGATACAGCCGGCGCAAGCTGCAGGGTGCTTTTCCAGTGAGGAAGCAGAGCAAAAAAAAAGTATCCGTTACTTTTGGGCAAAGCCGATGGATAGAGGAGGGGGAGGGGGGCGGGATCTGTGGAGAGAGAGAGCGAGAGAGAGGAAAAGATTCGAGAGAAAGAGGCAAGTAACGATGCAAGCAAAGCAGGAAGAAGAAGCTTTAGGAGCGGGATGCACAAAGTTGCTTTTCTGTTGTCATCTTTCGGTAATCCAAGGCAGGGGGACAAGAAAGGCCAAAGGTGAAATACCGAAAATCCCAGGATTCATCAAGCGAGACGAGCCTTAGCTGTGGCTGTCTCTCCCACCTCCAGGGGGAGGGACTCGTGTAGATTTATCAGCTGTGCACAATTTTTTTCTCCCACTCTTCCATCCTCATCTTGTTGCTTTTTCCCGTCTGCCAGGCCTGTTGACTGGTTTGCCTATTCGTCCGCTGTCCAGTGCCTTATGGATTACGGGGGAGACGGAGACTGGACAAGGTCACCACCGTATGCCCATGTGCTGGGCTGGCTATGCGTGATGTGGAAAATGTGCTAGCTGGGTAGCTGTCCATACACAGCTTGCCATGCAAAAAGATGTACATTGTACGGATTATGGTACGAAACTTACGCCCACAGCCTACCCGGCAGGCACAGGAGATATCCTCCCCCCCTGGACCAGCGCAGAAGCAGGACCGCTGCGACCGCAGAGAAACACAAACGTGGATGTACAATAACGGCTCTGCTGGGCAACTGGCACATGGCAACTCCCATTGGGGAGTGGCCATCACCAACGGCACCCAACCCAACTCGGTATCGAGTACATGCAGAACTGCGTGTCACTTGCGTGTGCTGAGCTCTGCATGCGAGGTAGATGTAACCAAGCACCACCTGGCACCTACCTAATACCTTACCTTACCTTACCTCAAGCACCAAGAGATTTGGAAAAAAAAAAAAAAAAAAAAAAAAAGAGTCGCCCGCCACTAAACCCAACCCCACAAGAAGCTTGTCCAAACGGCCCAGTCCCGTCTCCCGTTGACTACTGGCAGTCCCCGCGGAGCCAATGGTACGCTTGGGGACCGCAACTTGTTTACCGTGATACCTGCACCGTAGTGGATGAAGGGGATCGTCGGACGACCGCCACTGGACCGTTGTTGAAGTGTTGACCTGGTGTCCTGTCGTCTCCTAGCCACCCTTATTTCTTGTTGTCTTTTTTTCTGGTGGCCAATGACCAATGGTATACCAGGCGCAAGAACTCTCGCGGAGCTTGCCAAGGGGACCAGGTTGAAAGTCGTCTGGGTATCCGTATCATGCATCCGTATGTCTGCACTCCGTACGGAGTCCATACAAATATGGGAACTGGGCTTTCCACTGACTACGCAGTAGAAAATAGAAACAGACTAGGATGATGGCTAGACTTGGTTTCGCGAGAGAGGGGGGAGCTTGAGCTGTTCAGCCTCCATTTGGAGGGTCTCCATTTCCAGACGGGACCCCCAGAAGGCGATGGCGTCAAGGCGTTTGCAGGGACCCAAATGACCTGTCTCAAAAGCTACAGTGAATGTGATGGGTATCATGTGGATGGACGAACAGAAGAACGGATGTTAAACTCAGGGACGTTGTTGACGGGCAACAGGAATACATTACATCTGAATTGGCTCCCAACTGGCAGGAGCATCAAAGCCTAAAATCCTACGGTAAGGTAGGTATTAGCCCAAAGGCACCTGCCGTCACCTCATGTCTCATCCGTCCGACGTCCCGGCTCGGATACAGACGAAAATCGCCATATCGGGGCGTTTGCAACCAACGGTGACCCCTTCCTTCTCTTTCGCTGCAACCCAGCGGGCCGGTTCGAGAAGGTTCGGTGGGGCCCCGTCCCGGGACCCTGCACAGTCAGCGAATCAGCCTTGACGGTTGGCCGCTGTCATGGAACCCTTGGAGGCTGCTTGGGGTGGTCCGCCGAACCGCCCGAAGAAAAGCGTTACCGTCTCTGATGACACCCGACCACTTCCTGCACCGTGGGAGCGTGGGAGAGGGCCTCACCTCATGCCTCAGGTCAGACTTCTCTCCGTTCTGTATGTACATTGCGGATAGACAGTGTCAGGTCTGATGAAAAGTCCCTAGTTTTTGGAGCACGCAGCGACCAGACCATCCAAGGACCCATGTCCTAGTCGCCACTACCGCCCGCCCCTTGGAAATATGTGTGCTGCACTGCGGGTGCGAGTGCAGGCTGCAGAAGGGGGCCTGGCACTGGCTGATTTGCAGCAATCCCATCCCCAACCTCCTGCAAACCGAGCTGATGGCATCACCATGGCCCATCCCATGCCGCCCTCTTTGCCGGTTCACAATTTCCGCCTTCTTGACAGATCTCGTTGCTCTCTCATAGTCAAGAGCTACAGAAGTATAGCGGAGCGAGCGGGTCGTCAACGTCTCTCACGCATGCAGGTCGAAGCCAAAGTCATACATCGTGCATGCACTGCCCGTTCAACGGGGGTGCCTGTCTCCCAGCCTTTCTCATTACCCAGAATCCCATATCGCGTCTCGATTTGCGAGCTTGGATGATGTCCTCGAGCTTTGGGGAGCTGCGCCCACCCGATCTCGGTCACACATCTTCTTCCCTCACTCTTCATGTTGTCGGTGGTCACATCAAGTGCCTGCGGCTGCACGTTGTCACCCTGGACTCGGCGCTAAACGGAAACCAAACTGCCATGCTGTGAAACCCAGCCGAAATTATACCTGTTATTACCGTGCTCCTATGTGCTTGATGCAAATAAAGTACAGTCATGTCCAAATGCGTTCATCAATCCTCGTTTCCATGTATTTGTGCTTTCATCCCGGAGAGGTTTGTCCCCACGTGCCTCTCGCTCATGTCGTCACCAACAATTACCTTGATTCCCCCATGCGCCGCGTACCTTGCCTGAATTAAGCTCAATCCTCAGATCCCTCCGCCGATGCGGCTTCGGATGTCGTATTGCTCCCCATGATGGAGTTGACAAAGTCCTGGTATCTAAACACCTCACGGCGATTTCCTAAACCGCCTTGCATGTTGCGGTTGAAAGCTCGTCTGCCGGTGAATCCCTCGATGACCTTTTCAACCTCGGTCTCTGTAAGCGGTCGCTCGCCAGGCTCTGGCGTGGTGTGCAGAAGCGCATCCCGCAGCTCCGCGAGGTCGATCTGTCCGCTGTCATCGTCGTCGAACGCTGAGAAAGCAGATAGCAACTCGGATTGTGGTGATAGGGAGGCAAGCATCGTAGCAAGGGAATTCAGGAACGCAGCCATTGTCATCGTTTGAGGTGTTGATGGCGGGAAGAAGTTTGACACGTCGGAGGGTTTGGACGGCAGGCCTGGAAAATTTGTTAAACGAGGGGACTCGATTGATATGTTGAGTTTTCCAATCTTACCCAACTGATTCAGCATGTCGGCTACATCTTCCCTATTGATGACGCCATCGCTGTCGCGATCCAGGACCTCGAAACCCTCTCGAAGCTGTCTGACTTGCGCAGGTTGTAAATGCGATATGGCGTTCCCATGGCTCATTGTCTTCTTCAAACCGGGCCGCAGAGGCTGTGGCGAGGCCATGGTGGTGGTTTCGGCTGTGGGTGTTCGTACTCGCGGCGTCTTGCTCTCGGCCGTGTCTGTTGGGGTGGTTGGGTTGCCGAAGCGCCCGTTGTTCGTAGCGTAGGATGCCTTCGTGGGTGACCCGAAAGGCGTCACTTGTGTCACTTGGGTCGTTGAGGTCTGTCGGACTGCTGATGGCGATGCTGGAGATTCTGGTCGTCTGAATGGAGAACTGCGAGGAGAGCCATGAGGCCCTAGTGGAGAAGGTTTGTAGCCAGCGGGCATTGCCTGTTGTGGGTTCTTCAGGTCAAAATTCATGCGACTTTCTAAGAGATGTAATGATCCGCGCGCGAAATGGGCCCTAGCCTACCATATCGAAAAGGTGTTCGGGGCGGGAGCAGCTGTGGGTGGGAAATAGGGAGTGCCTTGCTCTGGATCTTTGATGCCGCGCGCCCACTTGGCAGCAAAGTAAACAATGAGAAATATGGGGATTGGGCCGAGAGACGACGGTAAGCGTACGAGAGACAAGTAGAGTACGGCAATGTGAAGAAGAAAAGCAACTGCTAAAATTGCGTATCGCGTTTCTGGTATCAGTATCGAATAGAATGTATTGTTGAATGGTTCTGCGTTGGTTATAAAATGGCGTTGTAGTTCAATTGTGGAAAGGTCCGACCCAGAGCAGAGACAATAGGTGGCTTTGGGTGACAGATGAATGTAAACAGAGGCGTCTTCTCCGTGACAACCGTAGCCTTGCATGACCCTCCCGTCCGTGCATGGCAATCCCGGGGGGAAGGGGGGAGAGCCTCATCCCTCAGGGAGGGGGGGAGGTGTGGCTGTCAATATGTGGCTTGATCACAATTCCCTGTGTCAGCTGCCAAAATGAGACTCTCCAGCCACATGGGTTTCATGTAAGGTCCCTTGGGGCGCTAAGCAAAAATTAGGTTGAGAGCGACAGCTCGGACCACCAATCTCTCAAAAGGGGAAAGCACAAAGGACATGGGAAGGCGGGGGGGAGGAACGTGGAAAGGGGAAGAGGCAGGAGGGGACCAAGGGGGTCCTTGGGGGCAGCCGAGAAAAGAAGGCCCTGCCTTTCCAGTTCCATAGTAAGGGAAGGTATTCGTCGGTGGGTGGTCACTGATGCCAGGTGGTGGGCAAGCCGCAAAAGGAGGGGGGCTTGAGAGGGATTTTAGGAGGGAAAAGAGGACACTGAGAATCCGTGATCAGCATTGTTCCCGACGCATTCGTCCAAGGCTTTCTCGCTTTCTCTCGCAGACACTGCCCACTTGGCTCACGGATACGGATCCCAGCTTGAGCCCACACTCGCTGTCAACTACCTGCCTGCCTACGACACACTAACAGCAACGTAGGGCCGCCTCGTGTCTGTTCTTCCCTCTTTGTCTGTCCCCGGGCTGAGTGTCTGACTTGACTGACAGATTGCCCGTCTGTGTGTCGGTCGATTGCCCACCAGCTGGCCCTGGCTTGTCTGGCTCCTCCGAGGTACGCGCGCTGAAGAGTTCTGAATCTGAATCTATCCGTAACCACGACCTGCTCTACTCGTCACCTTTGACTAGCCCCGAGCGACACGCGGAGGGCCGCCAGTATCCGGCGACCACCAACCAGAGGTCCTTGTCGCGGCAATCCATCCAGGGGCACACTGCAAGACCTCCCCCCTCCATCTCAATCCGACGCCCTGTTTGGTTCGCACCAAGAGGTGCGTACCTTGCTTCGGCGCGCCTTAGCTGAGCATTATTCGAGCCGGTGGGGGATCGAATTGGATTGCACAATTTTAAAAAAGAGGAAAAAGAAGCACCGCACTATCAACTATCCCCTGTCAGGAGTCCTGCCTGGTTTGGGACTCCTAGAAACCTTTCTGTACGCACTACTCCGTACGGAAACCTACCTTTAAGAAGTCAAGGATACCAAGAACGCCTGCGAGCAACCCAATAAGAACCGACGAGACCAGAAGACCAGACCAAACGTCGAAGCAGATCATGTCTCGGTGATTTTCTCTTCCACGCATTGACGCTTTCTGCATCTGTCCCCCGACAGGATATACCTGCTCTCTCCCCCTCGTGTGCCGGAGGGGCCATCCTGTTTCCGCTGGTTGGCAAAGACTGGTAAATGTCAGTCACTCGCCTGCATCTGACGTTTCGAAGAGCGCATTCGGCTATCGTCTGAGAACGCCTCCACGCGCTACCCTGGACTTGAATACGGTTACCTACCGCGCATACCTACACCACCTTACCAATACCGCTCCTGGACTACCTTGCACCTAAGGATACAACTACGTACTATACCGCCTCGCCAACTCCGTCCTCCCGTTCCCTCGTACTCCGTGCTTCGTACCCATCTACCCTTCCGTCGCCGCCCTTCCCCCCCCTCCATCTCGCATCTTGCATCCTGGCCCATCGACTCGCACTCGGCTTCAAGGACGCCCGACCTCCAATCACCTATTGTACGATTTCAGCGACGACGACCTGGCAAATAATCACTTGATTGCCCTTGTTAATGTCGCAGCATCACCGTCGAATGTCGTTGGCTGCGAGCCGTTAATCTTTCTGGGAAATTGTCAGCAAAGGGCTCCCACCATCGTCGCATTTCTCGATCGGAGACAAACCTACTTTTGCTGCACCTCCACGAACGGACCTCTCGACTGCATTTGGATGGCTGTGGCTACCGGCAGCCTGCGCAACACCTGGAACCCCCCAGCTACCGACCTGTTGAACAACTCCGCAATTTAACATTGCTTTCACAAGCATGGCTTCGACCCAAGCTGCGCTGCCGTTCCTCACGCGCAACTATTCAAACACGCAGACCCAGTACCCTCCACCGCCCAACGGCCCTTGGCCTAGTCGTCGCACTTCACTCTCCAGTTTCCCAGCTTCGCGATCGCCTTCGTCAATGTCCAACACATCTCGCCCGTCGCGATCTCCCCAGCCGCCTCCCATCGCCGAGACGGACCGCTCCTCGAACCCGAGCTCAAAGTCAAAGACACCGTCCACTGGTGTCTCGTCACAACACTCGTCGCTGTCTGCCCCGAGGCGATACAATCCGGATGCGCATCCTCCTCGCAAGTTGCGCTCGCAATACCCGCGAGGTTCCACCGAGAACCATGTCGAGTACATCTTGGTGGCCTCGTTCGATATAGATCGGGGCCCGGTCATGGAGCACCAATACCCTGTTTCCATTACCGGCGACGAACATATGCTCGCAGAACTCATGTTGCCCGATCAGGCCCATGTTCGGAATCAGGACTGGACTATTTTCTTCTTACACAAGGACACGAGCCAAGAGGAAGAGGACGAGGAACGTAAGGCGAAAGAGGCCAGGAAGAGGAGAAGAAGGCGTTTGCGCAATCGCGCTGCTGGCATCGTCGACGAGGAAGATGACGGCGCGGACTTGGACGAAGATGAGGGGGACCTCGATGACTTAGACGAATACGACGACGAGGATTCGGACGACGGCGAACCCGAAGGCGGAGAAGGCCCGCCGTTGATCTATGTTCTGAACTTGGTCAACACAAAGCAGGACAAAACGGTCAAGAGAGGTGCTGTTGTCAAGGCGATGGCAATCTGCACGAGGCATCCCTTCCTGCATATATACAAGGTGAGAACTTGCTAGCCTTCTGCTCCCCTCGCTTGATCAGCCGGCTTACTTATATCAGCCCCTTTTGTTGCTTGCCTTGGACGAGTACTTTAAGGCGCCCGTTCCCGAGACGCTGGCGATGCTCTACGATGCCGTCAACGCAATGGACCTGTCTCTCATGCCGAAGCTTAGCCTGCTTGAGAGACACCTGCTTTTGGCTAGTGATAACAAAGATCTGTTCGTGGAAAAGTTTGAGCAAATGATTCAAATGCGGATAGCCGAGGACCGCGGCGAACACCTCTCAGATCAGCCTTTCGATGCAAGTCGAGACCCTCCAAAACTGCCGGGTGTTTCTAGAGCAGGAACAAAAGCGCACGTCGAAGGTGCTTCGCAGTATTCGGTTCCAAGGGACACACACGAGTTTGAAAGCAGAGTCATGTACAAGGGCATACCAATTCCCATCAAAGTTCCCGTCGCTGTCATGCCGGAAACGGTGGGCGACTTTTCTTTGATCAAACTGATCCAGAAGTTTTCGGAGCCACAAGGCAAGGCGCCACAACCGTTCCCCCTGCATCCTCAATTGACGACAAACGGCCCGCATACGCACCCCATCATTGTATTGGTCAATGCGTTGTTGACGCAAAAGCGGGTGATCTTCCTGGGGCACAATATGCCATCAGGCGAGGTTGCGGAGGCAGTCTTGGCGGCCTGCGCCTTGGCATCCGGCGGTACGCTCAGGGGCTTCACGCGTCACGCGTTTCCTTATACCGACTTGACCAAGATTGATGATCTCCTCAATGTTCCCGGCTTCATTGCTGGAGTCACCAATCCGACATTCGAACTGCACCCCGAGTGGTGGGATGTATTGTGCGACTTGCCTACAGGCCGAGTCAAGATCAGTAGCAAGATCGATTCGGCTCCAGTAACGGAGGGAATGGTCTACTTTCAACAGCAAAACCCGTCATACGCTGGGCTTGTCGGAGGCACCTCCAAGGTCGCGGCCGAAAGTGATTTGACAGGCGACGCGGCTTTCATGCAAGATATCCTACGAAGTATCGCGGCAAGGCACGGTGAGAGAGTAATACGCGCCAAATGGCGAGACTGGGTTATCAAATTCACGCGAATCGCAGCTGCGTTTGAGGAAAGTGTGTACGGCGCAAGTGCTCTTTACATTGGCGGCGACGAACTAGAGATGGGTCCGGTGGGCGTGAACGGGCACGGCTACGTGTGGCCTGATGAACAATCGAAACACAAGGAGCTTGCGGGTAATGTGACGAGGATCGAAGGGTGGAGGAACACAAGAAGCTACTACAGCTTCATCCAGGTAAGGGAGCCACGGAATCTGTCCCTGTTCTCAAGGACTTGAACTAATCGTCGTAGGATCTCGCACTACTTTACACAGTGAGGCCGTTGAAGGGCCTCGACTTACACCACATGCACGACCGACTACGGACACAACGGCTCAACCCGATGCAAAGCAAGGAAATCTACGCAGCGTTTCACAAGTATGTCCACTCTTACGACGAGATCTGTTTGCTGTTGAGCGTTGCGCCAGAGTCGCATGCTGGCCTGTTCTACGTCGCACTTGGCCTCTTCCACAAGGACCGCGAAGTGCGCCTCAAGACGGCCGACCTGCTGGAACGCATTGGCGAGCACGAGGCGGGGCAGCACTGGTGGAAGGCTCTCAGCCGGTTCGAGAAACTGGCCTACAACCGCATTCGCAAGGAGATGGACGCCGAGATGCGGGCGAAGCTCGAAAAGGAGGGCTTGAGTCCCGAGGTGGAGAAACGGGTCAGCTAGGCGCTTTTCCTGACTTCTTCGGTTGCATCTAACTAGACATACTCCCATCACGGCCGGCGCTCTCTCTCTCTCATACTACCCGGCACCGGCGTTTCTGCTATATCACACTCATGTCATGCGCAAAATACTCCATGCGGCAGGAGAATAGGTGCTTTTGGGGGGGTTTTGTTTTTTCTCTTCACGAAGGTCATGATTGGAACGGGGTGGATGAAACGTCGATTATTATTCTCAAATTTCAAGAATCTCAGCAGCAACCTACTACTACCCTACTTAAAAAAGAAGAACTACATGTCGACTGCGCGCACGCAACGTCTCTTTGTCCTCTCGACATCTTTGGTATTCCGACGCGGCTTGACCTTTGGTTCCTTTCCCTCCCTCACTGCGTGCTCCCTGATCATTGACGTCAACGTTATCGTTTACTTTGTTTACAGTCTTGTCCGACCTTCGAGTCACGCGGAGCCGAGACCCAGGTGCTTGGCAGCGTGGTCTACATGGTCCTTGGCGAAGGAGGCCATGAAGAAGTAGGAGTGGTCGTATCCCTAAATACTCTTGTCAGCGTCTAAAAGTTTGAATATGACGATGAATTAGGCTCAACTTACGTAGTGGTATCTCAGGCTCAGACCCTGGAGGTTCTTCTCCTTGACGACCTTTTCAAAGTTCTCGGGCAGCAGTTGCTTCTGGATGTAGAAGTTGTCACCGAGGCCCTGGTGTCTCTTGTATTAGTGCCAGCTCCCATATGCGTCATTGTGATCATATGAGCTCAAGAAACTTACGACATCAATGAGGGCGTTCAGGGGACCGTAGCTCCAGTTCTTGACGAGCTCGGTGGAGTCGTGCTTGGCCCACTCGGCGCGGTCGTCGCCGAGGTATCCCGTGAAGGCCTTCTCGCCCCAGGGGCACTTTGACGGGTTGGCGATGGGGGCGAAGGCGCTGACGGAGCGGTACATGCCCGGGTGGCGGAGGTAGAGCGACAGCGCGCCGTGGCCGCCCATGGAGTGACCCGTGATGGAGATGCGGGAGCGGTCGAGCTTGCCTGCGAACTCGCGGAAGAGCAGCTCGGGGAGCTCCTTTGTGATGTAGGTCTCCATTTTGTAGTTTTGGCGGAAGGGCTCGCGGGTGGCGTCGACGTAGAAGGAGGCCGCCTCGCCAAAGTCCCAGGAATCGCGCTCGCCGGCGAGGTCGAGGCCGCGCGGGGAGGTGTCTGGGTAAACGACGGCGAGGCCGCGGGCGGAGGCCTGGGATTGGAAGAAGCCCTTTTCGGTGCAGTTGTCCGGGGTGCAGGTCAGGCCCGAGAGATAGAAGAGGACGGGGACGGCGCGGGTGGTTGCCTGCGGGGGCAGGTAGAGGTTCACGGCCATGTCGGTGCCGGTGGAGTTTGACTTGTGGGAGAGCTTGAGGAGCTGGCCCCCAAAGGAGGTGATGGTCGCCTTGGTTTGGAAGGTTGCGGTGGCCATTGTTGCTATTTTGCTGTTTTGGGTATCAACTATGTGTCAATTGGGTGTTGAAAGGGGGGTATATAATGCTGTTCGTTATCAAGCAAGACGAGAGATGTTGAAGGGAGT